CTTTACCAAGACTTGGTCGCCTTCTTCAAACTCACGACAGGTCCGTTTCTTATCCGCCCATTTCTTCATGCGCGCGGCCGACTTCTCCAAGTAGAGTTTTGCCTCGTCGGCTCGTTCTTGCCAATCTTTGGCAAACTTGTATGCGGGTGGGCTATTGCCCTTGTAGCCCCCAAGAATGTCCTTAGGCGTAGTCGGTTGGAAACCAAGGACAATCTCAAACGGACTTTTGCCCGTGCTCTCACTCCGCATCGAGTTATAGGAAAATTGGGCAACGTCTAGCAAACGTACTCAATCTTTCTGGTTGGCTGCCACATAGTGCCTGAGGTACACCTCCAAGAGGCCGTTGATGCGCTCCGTCTGCCCATCTGTTTGCGGGTGCAAAAATGTAGACACCTTGAGCTCCGTCCCAAGCAAACGAAAGAGTTCTTGCCAAAAACGGCCGGTGAACCTTGAGTCCCTGTCGCTTATGATCGATGTAGGCAGCCCACAATACTTCACCACATGCCTAAGAAAGAGTTTGGCCGTTATCTCCGCGGTGCACTTTTTTGGGGCGGGAATGAAGACCGCATACTTAGACAAACGGTCTACCACAACAAGTATGTTGGTGCAACCCTCGGAAATGGGCAGGCTCACGATGAAATCCATCGAAACGCTGTCCCACGGGCGTTCTGGAATAGGCAAGGGTGATAAAAGGCCATGCGGGTGGTCTTGCTCGGTCTTGTCTTGTTGGCAAACTAGACAAGTCCTTACATATGTCTCCACGTCTTCCCGCATGCGAGGCCAATAGAACCGTTCATGTACTAAGGCAAGTGTGCGATGCGTACCTGGGTGACCTGCATAACGGCTATCATGGCAATCCCTTAGAATCTCCCTTCTAAGTCCATCCCATGCGGGCACGTACAAACGGTTCCCTTTGGCATAAAGTATCCCATCCTCAAGCCAGAACCGCGTTGTCTTGCCTTCCTTCATGAGCTCCATGAACCTTTGGGCTTGACGGTCGTGCTCAAGACCCTTCTTGATGCGATCAACCAGCGTCCCCTCGGGTATGCTAACGATTGGAGCAAGACACGCCTTTCGGCTTAGGGCGTCGGCCACGTGGTTAGTCTTCCCCGGGCTATACTCAAGCTCGTATTTAAACTTGTCCAAGAAGTCCAACCAACGTGCTTGCTTGCTTGAAAGCTTAGGTTGGCTTTGATGGTAGCTCACAGCCCGATTGTCCGTCTTGATCTTGAACGGTGTGGCAGCCTTTAGGTAGTGCTCCCAAACTCTAAGGCAGTGAACTATAGCCAACATCTCCTTCTCGTGCGTCGGCCACCTTTTCTCGGTCTCGTTCAACTTGCGACTTTCAAAGGCGATCGGGTGACCATCTTGCATAAGAACGCCCCCAATGGCGAAGTCCGAAGCATCCGTGCACACCTCGAACGGTTTCTCAAAATCAGGGAGAGCTAGGACTGGCTCTCGAGTGACGGCGTCCTTTAAAGCCTCGAACACTGTTTGGTGTTTTGGTGTCCAACACCAAGCTTGCCCCTTCTTCAAGAGATCCGTTAATGGAGCGGCTATGGCGGAGTGTCCTTCAATGAACCGCCGATAGTAATTAACAAGCCCCAAGAACGATCTCAGCTCCGTTGGCTTCGTGGGTGCCTCCCACTCCACGATAGCTTTGATTTTGGCCGGATCCACGCGGATTTTGCCCCAACCAATGATGTGTCCCAAGAACGACACCTTCTCAAGGCCGAAGGAACACTTCTCCCTTTTAACATAGAGCTGGTTTTCCCTAAGGACTTGAAAAACGGCTCTAAGATGCTCCACATGCTCCTTCATTGTGTTACTATAGATAACGATGTCGTCCAAGTACACTACAACGAACTTATCAATGAAATCCGCTAGCACACGTTGCATCAGAGTGCAAAACGTGGCTGGGGCGTTAGTTAAACTGAACGGCATAACAAGAAACTCATAAGAGCCATACCTCGTCACCATGGCCGTTTTCGGTTCATCACCGGGTACAATGCGTACTTGGTAGTATCCCTTCCGCAAGTCTAGCTTGGAAAAGATCCGTGCCCGTTGCAGCCGGTTGAACAAGTCCGCTATAAGTGGGATAGGGTACTTGTTCTTCACGGTTAGCTTGTTTAACGCCCGATAGTCGATGCACAAACGTAGCGTCCCATCTTTCTTGCGTTGGAATAAGGCCGGCGAACCCCACGGACTTTTAGATGGCCATGCATGACCCGATTCAAGTAGCTCCCTAAATTGCACCTTGATCTCCTCTAGCTCGCTAGGGGACATACGATAAGGCACCTTGGCTACCGGTTTCGCCCCGTCCACCAACTCGATGGCATGATCAACCTCCCTCCTTGGTGGAAGACCTTTGGGCAAATCGTCGGGCATCACGTCCTTGAACTCATCAAGGACCCGTTCTATGGGAGGCGGGATTCGTTCCTCCTTTGCCGGCTCCTCTGTGCATGGTTCCTCCTCAAACACCATGGCGGCAAAGGTGTGTTCACCCCGTTTTAGCCCCTTGTTCACCCCACTTCTCGCCTTGGAGGATCACCATCGTGTCATTGCTAGGCACGATAATCGGCTTTACCTGGTCTAAAAACTCCATGCCAAACACAAGACCATAATCATCCATAGGTGCAATGGAGAAATTAGCGGTACCTGACCAGTTGCCGATTTTAAGAGGCACATCCCTGGCTTTGCCTACAAGACCCGTCCATTCGCCGTTCACGCCCTTGAAACGGCCTTTGCTAGGTGTCCACTTAACACCAAGCGAACGGGCTACCTCTTCTGTGAGATAACTCGTGTCGGCCCCCGTGTCTAACATGCCCCATCTAGACCCGTTTGCGAACGATGCCTCCATGTAAAGACGGCCTTGACGTGTCTCGGCCTTGGCATGCACGGCGTGTAGCCGTTTCATGCAAGCGACCCGTTTCTCCTCTTCTTGGCACAAACCTTGTGCCAATGCTGCCAACTTTGAACGAGATGGGCAGTCACGTGCCATGTGCGCTCCCCTGCACAAGAAGCACCCTTGAAACTTCTTTGGCTTGTCCCCCTTGGTCTCCTTGCTCGAAGACGGCTTTGTAGAGTCGGCTGCCGGTTTTGTGGGTGTGGAAGACTTCCCTTTGTCTCCCCCATCTTTGCCTTGGAACGGCTTCTTGCCCTTGTCCTTGGAGCTATCCTTCTTTTGGAACTCAACAAGCGACTCGGCCACCTTTAACGCCCGATCGATGTCCTGGACTTCTCTCCGTTGTAGCTCAAGTTTGGCCCAACGGTTGAGACCGTCCATGAAAGTAAAGAACGCCTCCTTGGGTGAGAGATCCGGAATTTCATGCATCAAGTCCGAAAATTCCTTAAGGTATTCCAGGATTTGGCCTTCCCTATGGTGCAGACGACGAAGCTTGGCCCGGGCTTCGTCTTCCGCATCCACGGGTAGGAAATACTTTCTAAACTCTTCCTTAAACCCATCCCACGTGGTGAAGACCGGGTCTCCGTCCCCCACGGGTTTCATCATACGTTTCCACCATGATAAAGCACTATCTTTAAGATAAAGAGAGGCTTGGAAGAGTCTTACCGAGTCGTCCATGATATTCATAGCTCCAAAGTACCGTTCTATACTGTAGAGAAAGTTCTCTACGTCCCTCAAGCGACGGCTGCCCTTGTATTCGTCCGGCTTGGGCGCTTCAAGCCTTGGAACCGTCCCCACGGTTCCGGTTGTCCCTTGCACGGCCACGGCGTCAAGCCATGCCTTAAGACGCGCCGATTCTGGCCGAGAAGTCTCTAGCTCCCCCATAAGCCGGCTGACGTCGTCTTGGAGGGCGGCAACACGAGCAAGGCTTTCCTCCTTCGACTTGTTGCAACGTTCCACCATTTCCTTGAGCATCCCTAGCATGTCGTCCTTCATTTGCTGCATGACTTCTTGCAATTCCCCTGCGAATCGATCCATGCGAGCTTCGGCGACCCCCGCTACCACCTCAGGGTGCTCGTCCCAACGGTCTTGGTGGTCGGCCACAGCAAGCTCTAGCTTGGCAAGCCGTTTCTCGAATTCCACCATCGGCTCCCTAACGACCGACTTCTCCTTGCGGCTTCCTTTGCGGGTGGTCCTCCCCACCTCGCGGGAAACGTGATCCCCCTCAAGCTCCGACCCTTGAACAACCTCCGAAGGGTTAGACATAGCTTATGCACGAAAGAAAACCAACAAACGGAAGTGTAGATGATGTAGCACACCAAGTATCGAGCCGAGACTCTGATACCAACTGTCACGGGCTTACTTTTTCAAAGTAACGGCCGTGCGGCACTAGCACAAAACAACTAACGATCAAGTGCTAGCTCAGCCTTAAGACCCTCAAAACGTGCAAAGCTAGGCAAGGCCTTAAAGAACGGAGGCAAAGAAAACTTAAGAAAGGTTGAAAGTGAAAGAACGATGAAGGCACAAGAGAGTTTAAGGAATGCTTGAGAACTCTACTCAAAGCTTGGATGAATTACAAATGAAGGGGGCATGGGGTATTTATAGGCAAACCCCAAGTCCTAAAGAATTCTAGAGAATTCTATGTACATAATAAAATAATGGAATTCTAGAGAATTCCTACAATAAAATATTCTAAGTTCAAAATATCTACAAGTCTCTAGAATCTTCCACACGGTTCTAGCAAACTCGGGTAGCTTCCACACGGTTCCACCCGTTTCTAGAGAGTTCTAGGCCTCTCTAGAAAATTCCAGAGTCTTCAAGATTTGACCGGAGAATTCCACAAGGCTCTAGACCGTTCCGTCTCATGTCCGTCTACGAAAATAGCCCGTTTCGCATCAAACCACCCGAATTCGTGGTGAAGAAAAACTTTCCGTGACATCTGCACCCCTACCTCGTTTATCACTGAGCGGTCATTTAGGGGCCTTAGCTGGTGATCCGGGCTGTTTCCCTCTCGACGATGAAGCTTATCCCCCATCGTCTCACTGGTCGACCTTGACCCCTATTATTTTGAGGCCATATCTAGTATTCAGAGTTTGCCTCGATTTGGTACCGCTCTCGCGGCCCGCACCGAAACAGTGCTTTACCCCTAGATGTCCAGTCAACTGCTGCGCCTCAACGCATTTCGGGGAGAACCTTTTTTTTGTAATTCCTATGATGCAATTGGGGCTTACTGTCGGAAACGAATCCATTTAGATAGTCCTTTGTGGCTCCGGTGGCGGCTGGACCGACGCGTTATTACGTCAAGAGAAATTCCTGTCGAAATTCACTATGAATGTTTGGGGACTTTTTATGAGATTTATGGACACTATCTAATAGTACGAAGTATAAGAAAAAAAGAAATTATTTTTCTATACATTCGAACCATTGTTGGTCAGATTTTTCTTTATCGGAAAATTGAAGAAGCAATTCAGGGGTTTTCTCGTGCTTGTTCATATGGTACTTAGGAATTCTATGATACTGCGAAAGTGAGGTAGTCCCGGTTAGGCTGGGATTAGAGTTCCGGAATTTATATGCGAATCAAGATTTTTGGGAAGTATCATGACCATAGACTTTTGAATCAAGATACTGCGAAACTGACTAACCAGAATACTGTTGCGCTATTCGCAACTGTTAGATTTCCGAAGAGGACTAATTAAAGGCTCTATACGTGCCCAAAGACGTAAACTTGTTATTTGGGAACTCTTCCAAGAACGTGCATTCTCCACTCTTTTTGGACAGGATAAAAAAATCTCCGCTTTTTTCGTTTGATATAGATCGTTTCCTACCCAATTTCCAAAAAGACAAAAATGATAATGAATTTGAAATTCTGGAGTCTATAGAAGAAGAAACAAAGGAAGACAAAATAGAGAAGGAAAAAAAAAGAGGAAAATAAAATAAAAGAACAAGCACGTATAGAGATAGCCGAAGCTTGGGATACGATTCCGTTCACGCAAGTAATTAGAGGTTGCATGTTAATAACACAATCAGTTCTTAGAAAATATATTTTTTTACCTTTTTACATAATAGTAAAAAATGTTGGACGTATGCTATTATTTCAATTTCCTGAATGGTCTGAGGATATACAGGCTTGGAATCGCGAAATGCATATTAAATGTACCTATAATGGTGTTCAATTATCGGGAAACCGAATTTCCAAAAAATTGGTTGACAGATGGTATTCAGATAAAAATTCTATTTCCTTTTTTGTCTGAAACCTTGGCGCAGATCTAAACAACAATTTTCTAATTGATATCTAAAGAAAAAAGAAAAAGCATCTTTTTATTTTTTAACAGTTTGGGGAATGGAAACTAACCTACTTTTTGGTTCGCCCCGAAAGGGATCTTCGCTTTTTGATTTTTTTGAACCTGTTATTAGGGAACTTGAAATAAAACTTGTAAAATGTAAAAGCGTCTATTTTCTAGCTCTAAAAGTTTTAAAGGAAACAACAAAATTGTTTCTAATAATTGCAAAAGAAACAAAAAGATGGTTTGTTGAAAATTTTTTATTTTTAAAAAGACGAATAAAAGAACTTTGGAAAGTAAATCAAATTTGATTATTGGGATTAAGAAACATAAAAGTATATGATTTGAATCAAAGTACAACCGAAAAAGATTCTATAATCATTAGCAATGAGATAATTCATGAATCCGTTAGTCAAATTAAATTTGCACATTGGACAAATTCTTCACTAACAGAAAAAAAGAAGAAGAATATGACTGATAGAACAAGCACAATCATAAACCAAATAGAACAAATTACAAAAACAATAACCCCGGGAATCCATAGTAGTCCTACTAAAATAAGTTATAATACCCAAAGATTCCAATTTTCTAAATCCTTTTTGAAAATAGTAAAAAAAAGAAATGACCGATTAATCTTTAAATTAGATTCTTTTATAAAAATTTTCTTGGAAAAAATATACATTAAGATTCTTTTATTTATCATTAATATTCCCAAACTCAATACACAATCTTTTGCTGAATCAAAAAAAAAATCTAGGGATATAGCCATTAATGAAACAAATTACGAAAGAATTAATAAAAAAAATCACAATAAAATTTCCTTTATTTCGACTATAAAAAAATCAATTGCTAATATTAACAAAAAGAAAAATTCACATCTTTTTTCTGACTTATCCTATTTGTCTCAAGCATATGTATTTTATAAATTATCACAAACTCAAGCTATTAACTTGTATAAATTAAGGTACGTTTTTCACGACCGAGAGACCCATTTTTTTCTTAAGACTGAAATAAAAAACTTTTTCAAAAGAAAAGGACTAATTCATTCTAAATTAAGTCGTAACAAACTTACGAATTGTGGAATGGATCAATGGAAGGGTTGGTTAAAAGAACATTATCAATATGATTTATCCCATTAGGTGGTCTAAGGGCTACTGCTCAATCAATTAGTTATGAAATACCATTAACTCTGTGTATTATCAATATCTCTACGTGTGATTCGCTGAGACACAAAATTTCCTCTCTATTTTTTTTTTTTACACTTAAGAAAAAGGCTTCAAGCAGATTAGTTATATGATTTAACGAAAACGGCTTAAAAATTTTCAGTAAAAAAGGGTAAGTCTCATTTCCTACGTACAAGGATTAATTAAACATAAGCAAAGCAGTCGAGACTGTTTACCCCAAGATTCGCTATTTAGGCATGATTACTTGAAGCGGGTTTAAAAGACCAACTCTACGAGATTTTTATTTTATTATATATTACGATTACGACAGGTCTATTAACATAAGATTAAAGGTAGGTTGAACAAAAATAAGTGGATGATTAGGAAGACCAAAATACACAAAGGGTTTGTAAAGAGTCGGTAATGTAAGTTTGTTAAGTTACCCAAAGGGGATTTCGTATATAAAAGAAAGTAAATTGGGGCTTTAGGTTGGTAGAAACACTCAAGAAGTATTCCCCAAAATCCCGACCCAAAGTATGCTCCTATTCACTGATTAAGTAAATAACTATCACGAACGAGTTAATCTTTTATTTTGGTTAAAGTTAAAGCCTTTTTAGGAGTTATGAAGAAAGGAGAATAGGAACGGAATAAAAAAGAATAATTGCACAACCAAAAAAAGATCTTTTTTTTATTTTTAATTCTTTTTCATATTCATAGAAATTTTGTAGTTCTAAAGAGAGAACTCGTGTAATGAGTTCGGAATTAAAATATTCAAATATCAAATATAAGGTCTAATTCTTTTTCGTAAATTCAAAAAACTAGGTTGAAATATCTATACCCTAAATTGTTATAAAAATATTATAAACAGTCTTTTATTCAAGGATTACATTATTGATTACCAAAAAAAATGAAATTTTTATAATAAAAAAAGATAAGATCAATTCAGAAGCCCTTTTTAATATATTTAAAATATATATCCATAATGTACATATCATATTAAGTAGAGCAAACAGAATTTCGTTGGTATAATTCGGAATCTTAGAATAAGTATCTTCCAAAAAAATAGCAAGACATAAATTTATTTGTGACCTCTGAGGAGCCATATGAGGTGAAATTCTCATGTACGGTTCTGTAATAGCGATGTGAACCTTGGTGTTCTCATCGACTATGATTATCTAATAGTCCAAGTACAATTGATATAGTTGAAGCCCAATCAAAATATGGTTTTTGGGGGTGGAATTTATGGCGTCAACCTATAGGGTTTATCATTTTTCTATGTTCTTCTCTAGCTGAGTGTGAGAGATTACCATTTGATTTACCAGAAGCAGAAGAAGAATTAGTAGCAGGTTATCAAACGGAATATTCGGGCATCAAATTTGGTTTATTTTACATTGCTTCGTATCTAAATCTACTAGTTTCTTCATTATTTGTAACAGTTCTTTACTTAGGTGGTTGGAATCTTTCTATTGCATACGGATTTATTCCTAAGCTTTTTGATATCAATAAAGCGGGTAAAGTCTTTGGAACAATAAGAGGTATACTTATTACATTAGCTAAAACTTATTTGTTCTTGTTTATTCCTATTGCAACAAGATGGACTTTACCAAGGCTGCGAATGGACCAACTATTAAGTCTTGGATGGAAATTTCTTTTACCTATTTCTCTAGGTAATCTATTATTAACAACTTCGTTCCAACTTCTTTCACTGTAAAATACTACACAATTCTACGACTTTTATTAAACAAGAGAAAGAAATAAGTATAAAAACTTTTTATTTTATTTATATATTCACGACATGTTTTCTATGGTAACTGGGTTCATA